GCCTTGGCCGCCCCACTGGCAGTGTCCCCCGAGGCCGCCGGCCCGGCCCAGCCCCGGCTTGTCGTACCCTTCACCTTAGCCCCCGGTGCAGCAGCCACCAGGCACTTCTGGTACTGCACCTGCAGGGACACCAGGGAGAGAGCGTGGCATCACTGTGGGGTGTCACACGCAGTGTGGCGTGGCCGTGGGGTTGGATGCAACATGGCCGTGGGGTCAGACACATCACGGTGTGGCTGTGGGGTGGGACGCAACATGGTGCCACGATGGGGTGGGATGCAACACAGCGTCACCATGGGGTCAGACACATCATGGTGTGGCTGTGGGGTCGGACACAAAGTGACATCACCGTGGGGTTGGACGCAACATGGTGTGGCCGTGGGGTGGGACACTACACGGTTGGACACGACATGGCATACCATGGGTAGGGACACAACACAGCGTGGCTGTGGGATCACGTGCAATGTGTGACCATGGGGTGGGATGCAACACAGCATCACTGTGAGGCTGGACACAACATGGCACCAGAAACAACACTGCATGCCTGTGGGGTCACATGCAACATGGTGTGGTCATAGGGTGGGACAAAACATAGCATCACCCTGGGGTCAGACACAACATGGTGTGGCACAACACGGCATCCCTGTGGGGTTAGAACAACCCAACACGGCATGGCTGTGGGTTGGACACGACACCATGGGGTCAACTTCCTCCTGCCCCTGCCACCCTCCTCAGGGCTGGGCATCCCACCCAGCCCCCCAGCTTTCCACTCCCCAGCTCTTGCCTCCTCCTCCAGGTGTCCCAGAGGGCTGGGAAGCTGGGGTGACTGGGGAAGATGCCCCATGCCTGCTTACCATGCAGGCTGCCTGCACCGCCTCCGAGATGGTGCCAGCGTCGGGCTCACACCAGAAGGCTGCGCACTGGAAGCGTCGCCCTGTGTCCACGATGAGTGCAAAGGTGTGGGCGTCCCGGCCCACCCCCAGGAAGGTCACATACCGCACCTGGCACTCCCAGATGTGCGCTGCCTCCTCGTCCTCCTGCGGGGACCCCATGGGCCTATCGATGCCTGGCCACACCCCAGGCGGCCCTGCCACCCCCACCAGGTCCCCTCTGCCAGGAGGCTGGGAACCCCATGGGGGTTCCCTGTCCCACCCTGGTGGCAGCAGGGTGCCCACTTCGGCTGGAGCCCCCCGTCCCCCTCCCCACCTGTGTGGGGTGCACCTTCATGGCTGTGTCGGACACGTGGATGAGAGAGGGCGTCCAGCGCTCCCGCCCGGGTCCCCTCATCAGCTTCTCAATGGCCTCGTTCAGCACATCCATCCCTGGGTGCGGGAGACTCCATACCATTGGCTCTTGCCCCAGCTGCCAGCAGGCAGGGTGCTGCCAGCTGGCCCCACAGGCAGGGACCACCCAGCGCCAGGGCACAGCTGCTCAGCTGCCCCACAGCAAGGGGTTCTCGGTTGTCCCCCAGCTGCAGCAGGGCCAGCGGTGCTTACCCACGGCCCTGGGCACGGGCAGGCTGCCGATGTACAATGCCTCATAGGTCTGCATTGACCGCCTCACCGCTTCCAGGATATCCACTGCCAGGACAGGAGAGGTAGGGGGTACCTCCCCCCGTGTCCCCCCCATGTCCCCCCCTGTGTCCCCAAGGACCCCAGGAACACAGCCAGGCAGGCCAAAGGGCTCTGGCCGCTGGGCATCCCACTGCCCGAGGGCAGACTGTGGGCAGGGGGAGCAGACAGCCGTGCCAGGGGGATGGTACCTTGCAGCGGCAGGTCCTCAGTGGAGATGGGCTCCAGCATGGTGCCGTGTCGCAGCCCGCTGCTTGCTACAGCTCGCTCAGCCACGATCTGCAAGAGACAGGGGTCCCAGTGCCTCCGCTCACCCCCAAGACCCCTGGACCATGCCCACACCTGCCAGGGGCCCCGCATCCCACCTTGGAGCACATTTCATGCAGGGCCTTGGCGATGCCTTTGGCGGGCACGTTGCAGTGGAAAACGTGACACTTGAGGATGCAGGTGTCCTTGTCACTGGCCACGAAAGCAAAGTCTCTACAAGGCCACGAGCAAGACAGTGAGACCCCAGCAGAGGAAGCCTCCCCTTCCCATGCTGCCCCCTGGCTCCGTGCCCCCTTACCTGTCCCTGCAGCCGTGGTGGCAGTCAGGGAGGAAGGAGAGGAGACAGGTTACTGCTGGGGTGCCTTCCCCCTGCAGCGGGCAGAGCTGCCCTGCAGCCCCCAGCTCTGCCCTGGCCCCCAGCACCTGCCGTTGTTGCAGCCAACGCCCCAGACGCGGATGTTGAGGATGGGCTGGTGGTGGATAAGGCTGCGGTCGAGGGGGTCCACGAGACTCATGGTGTCTTTCTTCAGGATCATCACCAGGTCCTGGCCCTGCAGAGGGTCAGCGGCTTCCTCAGCCTGGCAGATGGCCTGGGTGTCCACAGCACGCAGCCCACGTGGTAGGGACAACCCCGTCCCCCCAGCCTATTCAGCCCCAAGCATGGGGACAGCCCTGTCCCGTTCCCCCAGCCCTCCCCAGGTAGCATTAGTGTGTGTGGGGACAGCCCACCCAGGCACCCCTGGCACTGCCCCTAAAGGACAGCCCTGTCAGATCCACCTGTCCCACCACGTGGATGCCCTATATGGAGAGAGTTGACTCTGCCACTGGCACTGGTCCCTTACACCCCCAGGCACGGTCCCTGTCAGTGGGGACAGCCAGCCTCAGCAGCAGTGCCCTGGGGTGGGACCTTGCTTGGCAGCACCACCCCAGGCTCTCACCTCGCCCCGGTTCTCCGCAGAGCCCTGGCCCTTGCTGTTGGAGAGCTGCTGGATGCAGTTGTTGACAGCGATGCTGCTCTTGCCGGGTGCCAGGTCCTCCTCAGGGATCTCCACCCAGCCCAGCGAGCGCACAGCAAAGCACTGAGCAGAGACACATGGAGCTTCAGTGCCCAGCCAGCACAGCCACCCCTATCCCATGCCCCTCACTGTGCTGGTGTGGTCACCCCTGCTCTTGCTCCCATCCCTGTCCTTGCTGGCTGCTGCCTGCCCCTCCTCTGCCAGCCCTAGCCCACAATGCTGCAGTGAAGCTCCCAGGTGCGGTACCTTGGAGCCAGGCTCAGCGTTGTGCTGGAAGTCATCTCCGTGCCAGGGCAGTGAGGTCCTGTGGAGGGACAGGGTGGTGGGGGAACGGCTCCCACTTGGCAGCACAGACCTGGGACACCCAGGGAAGAAGCAGGATGCCCTGGCACTGGCAGACCCCCATACCACCAGCTGGGAAGCATCCCATGGAGGTGACCAGCGTGATCCTGTTGGCTCCAACATGTGGGCCTGCTCTGGTGGGGGCACTGGGGCCCAGCACAGTGGTCAAGGGTCAGTGGTGCCCCACAAACCAGCAGAGTGGGTGGGCAGCCCTACCTCCGAGACAGCGAAGCCATGGGGCTGGGAATGGGCCTGTCCTTTGCCGAGTGCTTCACCGTGGAGACCTGGCAGTCCTGGGAGAGAAGAGGAAAGGGGTGAGGGCAGCAAGAGAGGCTGTCAGGACGCACCAGGTAGGAGACCTCCCTTCCAGGACAGCAGAGCCTGAGCTTGCAGGCATCCCATGTAGCCAGGATGAGGCCAACACGGGGTCTGCTGGAGCCTTTCAAGGGGCTTAACCCTGGCAAGGAATGGGCTGCTCCAAGGGGAGGCTGGAGCAGTGATGCCCAGAGGGCCCTTCAGGCGGAG